GGGGGGGGGGGGGGGGAATCCTTCCGTGCCAACAAAGTGTTAGGAAATGGCTTTATCTAAATGGTGGAGCGTCCTGTACCAATTCAAAAGAATTCAACAATAAAATTAATTTGGCACTCGGTGCCTGCAGTAACTGGTGTGCTGCCATATTTTTCCAATTAAGAAAATATGTGACATGCGTAGAATCACATATTTAAGCAAGCAATTAAGTTGTTTATAACACGGTCTGTTCCTGTTTAGGCCAATAAATGGAAATTTGGGGGCGAAATCGAGATTATATTAAGTCTATTAATCAACTGGAAATGTGGACATCTTTCTCCTTGAAGCTCCAAAAGTTTGAGAGGCATCCATCCACTGTGGATAACACGAAATAGACAAAGCCTTCTCACCCCTTTGGCAGAATCTGAAGGGTGTTTTTCGTGTTTAAATTTCATTACAATATCAGTGGAAATATTTTCTTATTAACTTGGCCCCTAATGTTTACTATAATGTTACCCGCTTCCTCCCCAGTGGAAGGACAAATGTCCATAAAACGAACTCTGAGAACAAGAAATGCGGGCAACACCTAAAATCACCGTAGCTAGAATGCTAGCTAGAGGCTCCTTCTTCCCCCAGACCAGGCAGCAGGTCCTCCTAAATTTGAAAAGTATAGCACCGTTGTCGGGCGGCCCAATGCAGGCTCCCCTGCCTGAGTCCGCAGCTCCAGGCCCTGGGTACACCAGCATGTCGCATCCTGCGGTTAGGGTCACAACCCGGGCAGAGGTAGTTCTGGAATTGTTGATTTCCAAGCTCAGGACAAGTATTAATTTTTCTGCAGGCCGGCTCTTCCGGAAATGATTTTTAACACCCATGCTGATCGGGATCCTGGGCTAGGAAGAACTACAAACAGCCTCGACTATCCAAACTCAGCTTTGACACCTTAAAAACCCAAGGTTCCGACTCAGGCGCAGAGCATGAAGGTTCCAGAGGGCAGTTTATGTTGATATGGGGGCTTTCCTGATCACTGGCCCTTACTCTCATGTGTATGTGTATATATATATATATATATACACACACACACATACAATCTCCCTCGGTTGACTCTGTATGCTCACGTTCGCAGAGCTCCTGTTTTTAAAGGGAGAAGGAAGGACAGTATAAAGTAGCAACGGGTGTGTGCAAACCCAGAGCAGAAAAATGCATATTTTATTAAACAACCGAGCTGCTGGATGCATGAAAAGGCTTTGAGCAACCAATAGAAACCAAGGATCACGAATGTTCCGCTTGAACCTGTTGATCTCTGTGGGTTTAAGCGTTTAGGGTCGAGTCTGTCTTTCCAATAGGGAGAGAGAAGGAGAGAACAGAGGCAGCGGTCTGTTTCGCGCGCCACCGGAGGCTGGTTCTCCGCCTCTCGCCTTTTGGCCTGGCGTGGGCGGCGAGCCCTTCAGGCCGCCAACATGGCGTGGGCGCCTCTTGTCAGGCGTCCCGTGTCTGGCGTGGGGGATGGAGACTGCCTGGCCTCCCGTGGGCTGTCAGCAGGGTTGGGCTCGTACCCTGGGTCAGCACCGAAAGCCCGGAGATGCGGCTCCCTGTGCCGCACAGCACCCGGGTCTTGTTCTGCCGCCGCGACCCTTGGGCCCAATTGTTCCCAAATTAGAGCAGCAAGTTTGAGAGAAACAGAGCCAGCGGAGGCCAGGGCTGGCCTGAAAATGGCCCAGCGCTCTGGGAATAGCCGGTGAGAGGCCAGTGCATGGCCTCGCCGCGCCCTTCTGCCCTGACCGGGTTCTGTGCCTGGCCGGGTGCGGCGCTCTTGATTTCTGGTGTGCTTGGCAGAGTGTGAGTGCTAGAGAGGGTGAGTGGAATGCATTTGGCGTTCGCGGGGGAGGGCAGGGGACGGTGGAGTGCACAGTGAGGAGGTGAGTAGGCTACAGTTGCGGAGGGTTGTGTGGGTGAATAGCTGAGGAAGGGCGGCCGGCCAGAGTTGATCTTTCACGTCTCCAGATTCCTCTTCCTCGGGGTAGGGTGAGACAGTGGACAGAACTCCGGGAGGGGGCGGGATCCTCCATCCTTTTGGAGACAAATCTGGTAACAGGATTTGCCGTGTTGTTTTTCTCCGTGTGTGTGTGTGTGTGTGTGTGTGTGTGTGTGTGTGTGTGT